GCCGCGGCACGATGCGCGCCGCGTGGGAGGCGCTGGCGGCGCTGGCGGCCGTGGCGTGCCTGGCGGGCGCGGCGCGCGGCGGGCCCGGGCTCAGCATGTTCGCCGGGCAGGCGGCGCAGCCCGATCCCTGCTCGGACGAGAACGGGCACCCGCGCCGCTGCATTCCGGACTTCGTCAACGCGGCCTTCGGCAAGGACGTGCGCGTGTCCAGCACCTGCGGCCGGCCCCCGGCGCGCTACTGCGTGGTGAGCGAGCGCGGCGAGGAGCGGCTGCGCTCCTGCCACCTCTGCAACGCGTCCGACCCCCGCAAGGCGCACCCGCCCGCCTTCCTCACCGACCTCAACAACCCGCACAACCTGACGTGCTGGCAGTCCGAGAACTACCTGCAGTTCCCGCACAACGTCACGCTCACCCTGTCGCTCGGGAAGAAGTTCGAGGTGACCTACGTGAGCCTGCAGTTCTGCTCGCCGCGCCCCGAGTCCATGGCCATCTACAAGTCCATGGACTACGGGCGCACGTGGGTGCCCTTCCACTTCTACTCCACGCAGTGCCGCAAGATGTACAACCGGCCGCACCGCGCGCCCATCACCAAGCAGAACGAGCAGGAGGCCGTGTGCACCGACTCGCACACCGACATGCGGCCGCTCTCGGGCGGCCTGATCGCCTTCAGCACGCTGGACGGGCGGCCCTCGGCGCACGACTTCGACAACTCGCCCGTGCTGCAGGACTGGGTCACGGCCACCGACATCCGCGTGGCCTTCAGCCGCCTGCACACCTTCGGCGACGAGAACGAGGACGACTCGGAGCTGGCGCGCGACTCCTACTTCTACGCCGTGTCCGACCTGCAGGTCGGCGGCCGCTGCAAGTGCAACGGGCACGCGGCGCGCTGCGTGCGGGACCGCGACGACAGCCTGGCCTGCGACTGCCGGCACCACACGGCCGGGCCCGAGTGCGACCGCTGCAAGCCCTTCCACTACGACCGGCCCTGGCAGCGCGCCACGGCCCGCGAGGCCAACGAGTGCGTGGGTGAGTGGGGCGCCGCGCGTCCGGGCGGCGGGGGAGGACGCGCGTGGGGGCCCCGGCGGGGCTGGGCGCGGGGCGGTGGGGACGCCCGGCTCTGCGCGTCCTCCGGACCCACCTCGAAGGCAGCCGGGAGGCGGCGGCGGAGGTCGGGGGTGGAGGAAGGGAGGGGTTTGGAGAGAACGTGCGGACGGGTCTCCCTGATGCCAGATCCGAAGGGAATCTTTGCTCAGCGCCTGGGGTCCACCTCCGCCCCATCCCCCGTTTCTGGGGCTGCAGCTGGGCGCGCGGCTGGGGGCCCGGGACGTTCCAACCACGAATCCCTTGGGAGATGGCAGAGAACTGTCTGCAGCTTGGAACCGGACTCTTGCACCCTCCATTTGTCTGTTTATGGATCGATTTTTTTTTTTCTTTTTCTTGTTTCCCCCCCCCCTTCCCCTGTTGAACAGCGTGTTCATGTTAGCGAAAGGAGAGTGATGTGATTTCAATTAATTACTATCTACAGATTACAAAGGAGGCCTCAGTAACTATTTTAAACTAATTCAATCCTGGTCCAAAAGAGAAGTCTACCAGATTTTTTTGTTAGCTCCGGGGTTTGGTGAAATTGAACAGTTTTGAATTAACGAAGGACCCCGCGTCTCAATTTTTAATAGAGTTTCGGTTCCTGAAAGAGAAGCCTGACACACCCGGCGCTGATGAATACGCCTGGGTGGGAAAAGAGGCCAAGAGAGCGAGCATACGTTCTGCCTCTGAATTGAACAACTTTGTTGGTGCAAAAACTCCTAGCGTCGGTTATCCTTTGTCGCCCCCCCAACCTTCCCCCTCAGAGAGGGGGGGAGAGAGAGAGAGAGAGAAAGAGAGAGGGGAGAGTCCGACTCCACTTTTCAGCGTTAGATGTAAATGTCTGAATCTGACAGTGATTGTAAGGAAAATAATTTAGTCCACGGTGTGCCATTTGTGAACATCTTTGTGAACATACAGCTCCCCCGCCCCTCCCCCAGCCCCAGAGAACCAGGGCAAGTCTCTTCAATCGCCTCACCCTCAGGGGCACACTGTAGAGTTTGCTGGTCCCCACAAGCACACGTTTTGGAGTCTGGTTCTGATTAATTGTGTCATGTTGTTGTCGAATCCTCTCATGGCTGTGGATGCAGGCTTTTGAGCAAGCGAATGGAAAACATGTCTCGGAGGGCCGGTGCTAGGAGGCCGGGGCTGGAGCCCTGCTCTGCAGCCGCCGAGCCTCCTGTTGCACCGCAGGGCCTCCCATTTAAAACCGCACTGTGTCCCAGCCTTTGCCGACCTATTGTAGGATCCCTAACCTTCCCGGGACAGAAGGGCCAGCTTCCAGTGTGGCATCTGTGAAGTGGTCGCACCCAGACTTAGTGGTCTTGGAGAATAAAGTGCCTTTGATCTGCTCAGTTCCCTGAGAAATGTTAGCTTTTCCCATCTCTTCTCCTTTGCCTTTCCTCTTTTCTTCCTTTTGTGCGCAAACCCCCTTTGTTGGCATTTGAAGGGCTCCAGGGTTTTGCTATCAGTTTTAGTTTGCACGTGCATGTGAAGGATGACTTTGTGTGTCCTCCAGCAGAGCTTAACTGGACAAACGTGAGTGCATACATTGAGGGGAATAATCTAGATTTGTGGTAAAAAAAAAAAAAATTACTAGTGTGGAGGTTCCGCCTCTCCGAGGGAGGTATTGATCACGCCTTTCTCCATAGTTGAGGGTTTGAAGACACAGCCTGTTGTTTTGTTACAGTGATGGTCCCAGACTTGAAACAATCTCTCCAGTTTTGGATTTTTTTTTTTTTTTTGTCTTTTCACCAAAGCACTAACTACACACAAATTGGATTGACCCCCCCCCTCTTTTTGTGCCAAGTTGAGCAATCAACATATTAACTAATGTAATTAGCAAGTGGTTTTTGTTCAAAAAGTTTAATTAGGCCTAGTAAGTACATAATCTCCATGACAAATGATCGGCTAACAATATTTTTTCAGGGTTTTACTGAAGTTATTTTAATTCTTCCGTAGTTAAAGTATCTTTAAATCTCGCCAATTATTCAGTCATTTCATAAAAGCCAAGTCGACTCAACTCTGCTGAAGTTATTTATAGTTTCCTTTTTGAATAGATGCTCTGATACCTTGTAGATAGAACTGGGAACATCAGATTGAAGTTCCCATAAAGTCTTAATTGAAGTCCTAGTGATTTTTCCATCATTCTGTTAGAAAGAAAGCCAACAAGGACAATCTAGGAGTGATTTACAGTGAAAGGTCCAGCTTTTTATGAAAAGGCCCTGTAGTGGGGATTTGTGACTGGGTGGTGTTTGACAGGTGTTCTGAGATAGGGAAGGGCTCTGTGCTAGGAGAGACATTAATAAATCCTTCACGAGTAGCTCTGTACCGTCAGCAGCTGGATCCCCCCAAACATAAGCCCATTCTGTGAATTTCACACTGTTGACACATGAAGCTGCCCAGACCATTAGTCTATTTACAGGTTGTGGGTTTTTTTCCCCTTTAAAAAAAAAAAAATCAGTCTTGACTAAAATCAAGCAGCATCCCCGTGCTGTTCTGATTTTTTCTTTAAGAAGTAATAAAATGTGATTTATAGTGGGCCTAAATGGGACAATTCCTAAGATCAGCTCTCCCTTCCTTAACAAAGTCCCTAAGAATCGAGGCTTCTCGACTGTCCTCACAGTGGCCCAGGCCCTCAGAGATCCCGAAGCCGTGTTGGGATCTCCTGTGGTTTCTCAGGTCGAGCTTTTGCTTCAGCATCGCGCCAAGGCGGGCTTCTCTACAGAGTACGTGTGGACTGTTGAGAAGTCCAGTGTTTTAAATGCAATTTCGGGTTTCCTCTGGACGGAAGGAGCTCTTGATGTACCGTGGGGGAGAGGTCTATGTATAGCCTTACGCCTTGGGCAGCTCTCAGTGGAATAAGTGCATACTCCCACACAGATGTACTGGCGGTGTCCACATGCTTTCACACATGTGCATTTGTGCTCACTGTGTAAGGAAACCCCCACGCATGCTGTGTGTGTGGCTGGGGGGTGCACACTGGAGGGAGAAATGCAGGAACAGTTTGAAAGCACCTGGATGGCTGAGCCCTCCCTCCCTCCTTCCCTCCTTTCTCTCTCTCTCTTTTCTTTCAAAAGAGCATCTGAAGACCATATTGCTTTTCATAAGTTATTGGCATCGGTTTTAATCAGTGTCCCCCTGACGTGGGAGCCGTGTTAGCATTTGGTGCCTGACGAGGCATGATGTTTCATCTTACTGTGGGGATGTCAGCATGAGCCTCTCTGCTGGCTGGTGACGGGTTGAGATTATGAGAACTCGTTTTCCGACCAGCTCTATGGCTTTTCAGTGCCTAGCTGTAACCCAAAACCCCCACACAACACACCTTTGCAAGGTGAGTGCCGTGCTGGCCGGGCCTCGTACAGCCACGGGTACCTACCTGCAACAGAGTGCTCCTGATTGTTTAAACATGGCTCTGGGGAGCCGCAGGTAACCCTGGTGCCACGGCATCCTAGCGTTCGTCAAGCAGGGAGGAGGAAGAGGAGATGCCAAGAAAAAGAATCCAGTGCCCTGCTAAAGACCCCTGCCATAGCAGAAGGCCAGAAATATTTGCTGGCCCGTCCAGAGCCTGGCACCTAGCTGTGGATGAGGGTATGGTTTTTAGTGCTCGCAGTAATTATTATAATTACCAGTCATTATGATGATTAACTCTTGAGGGCTTATTCTTTGCCAAGCGCTTACGTTAATTTAGTCATTTGATCGTTGTGACTCTGCAAATAATGGCCACTATTATTGTCCTCATTTTAGAGATGAGGAAACCATGGCCTAGAGACACTGCACGGTTCGCTCATGGCCAGAGCTGCTAGGTGGCAAAGCTCGGGCTCTGTGATCACACCTGACTTTGTTGTGTGTGCTGGGCTGCGTCCACATGGCCTGGTTGGATGGGCGAGTGAAAGAAACGACTGAGCGCGAGTTATTTACACCCAGGGGGAAAGGCAGAGCAACCTGTTACTTCTTGCTGTAGCTGGAGGTAGTTTTCTTAGGTGTGCTGGCTTGTAGTATATCATGCTGTTATTATGCTAATACACACTTACGCATGAAGTTGCAGATAATGTCTCTGCCGCGACCAGTGGGCCTGGTGGGAGCCGGGAGAACTATCATGGAGGAGGGTCTGTCTGTATTTGTTTCCATTGATTGTATCTGCATCTTGGTGCATGCTGGGTAAGGGCCTCATTACCAAGCTGTGTCTCTAAGCTTATGTTTGTGTGTTTGTTTGTGGAGGTCAGAGGACAACTTGCTGAGTTAATTCTCTTTTCACCCTGTGCTTCTTCGGGAATTTTTTTTTTTTCAGGTCATCAGGATAGGTGGCAGGTTCCTCTATTCTCTTAGCCACCTCTTGGCTGGCCCTATTTTTGTTTTTGTTTTTGTTTTTAGGGACAGGGTCTCTCTCTAGGTAGCTCCATCTGTACTGGAACTTGCTGTATAAACCAGGCTGGCCTCGAACTCACAGATCTGCCTGCCTCCGCCTCCTAAGCTCTGTGAAAGGCATCGACCACTATGTCTGATCTTATTGATGATTGATTGATTGATTGACTGAGACAGAGTCTTGCTAACTTGCCCAAACTGACCTTAAACTTAAAAAAAAATTAGGAAACGTTTTATTTATTTTTATGTTTATGAGTGTTTTGCCTGCATGTTTACAGATATGTTGGGACCATGTGGGTGCTGGGAATCAAACCCAGGTCCTTGGCAAGAACAAGTGCTCTTAACCATTGAGCACGCCACTTCAATGCCCTGGCCCTGAACTTTTGATTTCCCTGCCCCAGCCTCCCAGATATCTGGGATGCTAAAGTCGTGTCACCACACCCACAGAGGGTAAGTCTTGATCTCAGGGCCTGTGGTAGTTCTCAGAGGTTCAGGTGAAGCAGGGGTGGTAGTCCAAAAATCCTCTTTAAAATGCCTTTCTCTTCTCACCCAAGGGTGCTTCACCCTCTTACTTCTCTGTA